GCTTGGTTTGGGGGGGAAGGGGGGGTGATGAATCATAGGGGGGGGGGGGGGGCAAAAAAGGGGTAATTATTTTTTTTCGTTTAAGGAATAAGGGGAAAAAAGGTTAAAAAACTAGGGTTTCCATTTTAATAGACAAATAATTGAGTAAAGAACATTATTTAAAAGCAGTGTAAGGTTGGTAATTCAAACTCATTTAAATATCTCACCTGCACTATGTTTGAATTATGTAAATTGGAAATTTGCCAATTATTTTAGTATAATAAACTTCATTGGAAATTTGCCAATATAAAGTTTTGCTGATGAAGGTTTTTTGTTTACCTTTAGTCTGACTATGATGTCATTTTCTATTTTAATAGCCTTATGATGTAGTTAAATTTTTTTTAATACTTTTATGATGTATTTTAATGCGCTTTTATGGTTGCAAATTTATTGTTTTAATATAATAAACTCCATTGGAAATTTACCAATAGTTTGTTTATTTTTAGCTATGACTATGATGTCATTTTCTATTAAATTTTAAGGTTACAAATTAATTTCAGTTTTAAATATTATTGTAAAATGTTTGCCCAAAACATTTATTAATAAGTGGCCAAAAAAGGGGGCAAAAATAAGCATTTTTTTAGTTTCCAGACATTAACTTGTGTTCAAGTGTATGGATTTCTCTGAAATTGTACTTAAAGGTACCATACCACAAAGGGAAGTGGGTCAAAAAATTTTTGGGGGGGGGGGGATTTTTTTTCCTTTTTTTTTTCTTTAAAATTTTCCATTTTAAGTTGGTTTATTCTGATCACAAAGAGAAAGTTGGAATTGAGTTTGGGGGATAATTGCTCAAATGTTTAGGAATAAGGGGCTAAAAAAGGGGTTAAAAATAAGCATTTTTTTTTAGTTTCCAACAATTAATTGTGTTTAAGTAATTGGATCTCTGTGAAATTGTACTGCAAGGTACCATACCACAAACTGAAGGCTGGGATTGAGTTTGGGTGGGCGTGATGTGTGAAAATTTTCCACTTAAAGTTGGTTAATTATTTCTGATTTAGATATAAAAGCAAATAATAATGATGTGGTTTGATTTTATCAAAAACTTAAATTGAAGTTATGTATATTGTAAATTTAGGTTACATTGGAATTTAAGAATTGGCTTTGGGGTAGGGTTATGGCTCAAACCTTTAAATAATAAGGGAAAAAAAGGTGAAAAAACAAGGGTTTCCAGGTTAATAGACAAATAAGTACAAAACATTATTTAAAAGCAGTGTAAGGTTGGTAATTCAAACTCATTTAAATATCTCACTTACACTGCTTTTAAATTATGTAAATTGGAAATTTGCCAATAACTTTATTGTTAATAAATGCATTGGAAATTTGCCAACAATTTTAGTATAATAAACTTCATTGGAAATTTGCCAATATAAAATTTTGCTGATGAAGGTTTTTTGTTTACCTTTAGCCTTGACTATGAAGTCATTTTCTATTTTTATAGCCTTATGATGTAGTTGAATTATTTAATACTTTTATGATGTGTTTAAATGGGGTTTTATGGTTGCAAATTTATAGTTTTAGTTTAAAAAACTCCATTTAAAATTTGGTAATAAAAAAATTTTTTGTTTATTTTTAGCTATGATTATGATGTCATTTTCTATTTTACTTTTATGGTTGCAAAGAAATTTTTATTTTTAGATATTACTGTTAAATGATGCTGATTAAGGTTTTTGCTATGTTTAGCCATGACTATGATGTCATTTTCTATTTTAATATCTGTCATGATGTATTTAAATGGGCTTTTATGGTTACAAAGGAATTTTATTTTTAGATATTACTGTAAAATGTTGCTGATTAAGGATTTTGTTTATTTTTAGCCATGACTATGATGTCATTTTCTATTTTAATACCTTTATTATGTAATTTCCATTTTAAGATATTACTGTTAAATGATGCTGATTGAGGGTTTGAATGCTGGGATTGATTTTGGGGGTAATTGCCTCCAAATTTTAGGAATTAGGGGGCAAAAAACAAGCATTTTTCTAGTTTCATGACAATAACTTGTGTGTAAGTGTATGGATATTTATGAAATTGTACTACAAGGTTCCATATCACAAAGGGAAAGCTGGAATTGAGTTTGGGGGTACTTGCCCAAAACGTTTAGGAATAAGGGGCCAAAAATAAGCATTTTTCTAGTTTCCAGACAATAACTTGTGTTCAAGTGTATGGATCTCTCTGAAATTGTACTGCAAGGTACCATACCACAAAGGGAAGGCTGGGATTGTTTTTGGGGGTAATTGTCTCAAAATGTTAGGAATTAGGGGCGTTAAAGGGGCAAAAAAACAAGCATTTTTCTAGTTTCATGACAATAACTTGTGTGTAAGTGTATGGATCTTTATGACATTGTACTGCAAGGTTCCATATCACAAAGGGAAAGCTGGGTATGAGTTTGGGGGTAATTGCCCTAAACGTTTAGGAATTTGGGGCCAAAAAGGTGCAAAAAACCCAAGCATTTTTCTAGTTTCCAGACAATAATTTGTGTTCAAGTGTATGGATCTCTCTGAAATTGTACTGCAAGGTACCATACCACAAAGGGAAGGCTGGGATTGAGTTTGGGGGTGATGAATCATAAGGGGGTTTCAAAAAATTTGGGGGGGGGGATTTTTTTTTCCTTTTTTTTCTTTAAAATTTTCCATTTTAAATTGGTTATTTCTGATTTATATATAAAAGCAAATAATAATGATATGGTTTGAATAGGTAAATTAAAAAATTTTAAGTTCTTAGACTACTTTCATTCTGTGTGAGAAACCTATGCTGTGTCAAATATTTAATTACAATCCAAATTCAGTGCTGTATCAAGCTTGAATGTTGTGTCCATACTTGCCCCAACTGTTCAGGGTTCGACCTCTGCGGTCGTATCAAGCTGCGCCCCAGCGGAGCATTTTATTTAAAATAGATTGATGCAATATACTGTGCAATAAACATGATAACCCACATATTGTTTTGATGTCTTTCAACAAAGACTGTTTACCTACGGGTATTTTGTTATTTTTGAAAGGATATTTTACCTGTATTTTGTTTACAACATGTATAAAAATAGAAAGTCAATTTACATGTTAGGTTTAAAGTGCATTTTAAAATCGGGTAAAAAGGGGGATTTGAAAAAGTCTATGTTGTGACGTTACACTATTGTTTCAGGTAGGGTGAAGGTTTGCGCCTATTTAAACATTTAAACCCGCTGCATTTGTTTGCACCTGTCCTGATGTTCAGTGGTTGTCCTTTGTTGATGTGGTTCATAAGTGTTTCTCGTTTCTTGTTTTTTATATAGATTAGACCGTTGGTTTTCCTGTTTGAATTGCTTTACACTAGTCATTTTTGGGGCCCTTTAAAGCTTGCTGATCGAGTTTCTTGTTTTTTATATAGATTAGTCCGTTGGTTTTCCTGTTTGAATTGCTTTACACTAGTCATTTTTGGGGCCCTTTATAGCTTGCTGATCGATGTGAGCCAAGGCTCCGTGTTGAAGGCCGTACTTTGACCTATAATCATGATAATGGTTTACTTTTACAAATTGTGACATGCATGGAGAGTTGTCTCATTGGCACTCATACCACATCTTCTATTTAAAGTATTAAAGTAGATTTTATAGTCAGAAATATGAATTTCCTTCTTGACATGCTGCCATTGCATTCACCTTCTCTGTCCTTCTGTTCTCTGTATGTTCGTCCAACAAAGATTTCCCTCACACTATTCTAAGGTACTACTGAACAGAATAACTTCATATTTGGTCAGCAGCATTAACAGTGATGATTTCAATGTTAGATGTAAGCACTTTCAAGTCTGTTAGATATACCTCTTTCTATTTGTTGATGCTTTAAATTACAATTGGATGTATGCTAAGCAAGACAACACTTGCATTTTTGTTAAAACTATTTTAAAGAACCTTACACAGCTCTTTCTAACTGTAACCTTACATGAGGCCAACACAGAGAACCTTACACAGCTCTTTCTAACTGTAACCTTACATGAGGCCAACACAGAGAACCTTACACAGCTCTTTCTAACTGTAACCTTACATGAGGCCAACACAGAGAACCTTGCACAGCTCTTTCTAACTGTAACCTTACATGAGGCCAACACAGAGAACCTTGCACAGCTCTTTCTAACTGTAACCTTACATGAGGCCAACACAGAGAACCTTGCACAGCTCTTTCTAACTGTAACCTTACATGAGGCCAACACAGAGAACCTTACACAGCTCTTTCTAGCTGTAACCTTACATGAGTCCAACACAGAGAACCTTACACAGCTCTTTCTAGCTGTAACCTTACATGAGTCCAACACAGAGAACCTTACACAGCTCTTTCTAGCTGTAACCTTACATGAGTCCAACACAGAGAACCTTACACAGCTCTTTCTAGCTGTAACCTTACATGAGTCCAACACAGAGAACCTTACACAGCTCTTTCTAGCTGTAACCTTACATGAGTCCAACACAGAGAACCTTACACAGCTCTTTCTAGCTGTAACCTTACATGAGTCCAACACAGAGAACCTTACACAGCTCTTTCTAAATGTAACCTTACATGAGGCCAACACAGAGAACCTTACACAGCTCTTTCTAACTGTAACCCTTACATGAGGCCAACACAGAGAACCTTACACAGCTCTTTCTAGCTGTAACCTTACATGAGGCCAACACAGAGAACCTTACACAGCTCTTTCTAGCTGTAACCTTACATGAGACCAACACAGAGAAATCAATCATCAAAGATAGATAGATACAAAGACTTTCTTATTTTTATTCACCAGTTTATATATACATGTACCAGGTTTTTAAAATGACAAAAACTTTGAATCTAACAGATCTATATCATCACTCGAATTACATAATAATGTACATTGTGACTATATACATATGTAGCTATTAATGGATTTACATGTCTATGTTATAATGTACATGTATGTCCAATGTAGTTAGATAATTATGATATTGTATAGACATCAACATTTGTATCTGTTTTCAGGCATCTGTTCTACATTCAAGTGAAACAAGAAATCCTGTTTAAAACACTCCATGTTAAAGATGAGACAAAGCTTGTTAAAATACTCGCTTTGATAGCTCAGGAAGAGTTTGGAGATCATGTAACCAATCGTTTACATCTACCTGGCTATGAGACGTTCTTGGAGAAGATTTGTCACCACAGTGACCCTGACTTTCTGAAGAGTGTTGCCAATTGCCATGCAGAACTGCGTGGCATGTCTTCCCAGAATGCAGAGTACAGGATGTTACAAGAAGCTTCAACACTAGAGGATTATGGGATGGAAAAGCATGAAGTAAAGATGGAAAAGAAGCTGATGTCAGTTGGTGTAGGACCAGAAGGAGTGTTTATTTATGACCATCATATGGAATTAGTTGATAGGTAAGTTAGTAACAAAGAACTCTTCTATTTTGTCATGATTCAGCCCAGTTGGGTAGTTCAGAGGTCTTAGTTCATTTTAAGATATTGTGTCCTAAACTAAAGCCATATGTTTTTTTTTTTTAAATTTGTAAAATTAAACCCTTGCCTTGCCGTTTCAGTCATTTAATTTGAAAAGGGCTAGTTTTTTATCATTTTAAAGAATAATTTTCTTCAAGGAGTCGAAGGTGATTCCACAAAACTGAAAAGATCACTTTGTGTAGGAAAAACAAACTATACCCAATAGCTACAACATCTACATGGAGACCAACAAATAGAGACAGTTTATACATTTACAACCAGTTACCCAAGAGGTATCCACCTTTTTTTGGTGAGGATGGGTTTTACCCAAGTAAAGGGCCATCAGTGACATAAATAAGTTTGTTTATAGCAGTTACCTTTGAGCTCATTTGATCAGATGAATGGAATTTGTAACCTTGATTTGTGGCTGTGTTGACCTTTGATATATTTTGTATTGTGGCTGTGTTGAACTTTGATTTTTTTTTTCCAGAATAGAGTACCCAATGATACAGAGGATTGTTCATGATGCATGCTCGTGTGTCATGTCTGTGTATACTGAAGAGATGGAAACACGTAGGATTGAAGTCCGACTGCGAAGTCTACGAGCTGCATCCTGTTTGTACCGTTGTATAACAGAAATGCACTCCTTCTTTCGATGTGATACAGTTAACAGTGCAGTTTCTTCCCAAACCTACCGTGATCTCAAAGGACTACTGGCGTCTTTGTTTAACGAGAACACCACAACTGGTAAATGTCCAATCAGTGGCTAAAATTTATGACAACTGATTCGGCAAAATTTGTAGAAGAAAGGAAATTTAGATTTTAGTCCACAATGTTATAATATGTGATGGTTAAGATCTTTAAGATAATTTAATAAGTATTGTTTCAGTCATTTTGCTACATGTAACAGCCAAAGATTTTTATTGTGAATGAATAAATGGAGATATGGGGTAAACATCAACGAGACAGAAACCCAAAAACACAAACAACCAAAAACATCTAGAGGTCAGCACAAGGTCTTCAAAAATGAACAAGTGTCTATACAATAATTATTTACTGCTTATTGATGGACCACAGGACCAGTGTTAAACAAAATCTCACTATTATAGAAGGAAAATTCAATGCATTCAAAGTCTATTTAAGGCTCATACAATCAAATACACAAATTTTAATCTTTTCATTTTTACCGCTTATTGATAGATCATAGGACCAGTGTTAAACAAAATCTCATACACAATTATAGAAAGTAGACTTGTGTAGGAAAATTCAATGCATTCAAAGTCTATTTCTCATAACTTGGCGCGTACAATCAAAAACACAAATTCAAATCTTATCAAATGTTTTATTGTCTATACCTGCAGGTCAGAACTATGTTTTTGATGTTCAAAGAACTTGGCGAGAAGCCTACGACAGCACTAGACGAAAACTAATGAAAGAAGCAGCAAATCAAAGTTTACCTCCCCTTGAAAAGGATGAAATGGAGGATAGTAGTGAAACACACATTCTACCCAAAAATCACGAATGTCAGGACGTTCAGGTAATTTGTTACTTCTTGAATGAAGAATTGTGGTTAACTTCTGTGTTCAAACTTAAGATACAAATGGTTGAATATCAATAGTCTAGGATGTTAATATTAAAAACCAGTTACAGTCCAAAGATTAATTGCCTGAAAAAAAGGAATGCTTAGTCTGCTAACATATTTGTTCTTCCTTTCCAAGATGGGTCAAATGGTCTAAATGCCTAAAAAATTTTTGTTTTTTTTATTTATGCAAGAAAAGGTACAGCCCGCATTCAAGCAAGTTCTACATAGTGATGGATTTCGCTGAACAATTATCTTTTCTGTCAAACGTGTGCTAGATTAGAGTAGTTCCATAATGATTCTTTTGCTACTATTATAGTGTTGTTAAAAACCAAGTTAGAATAAAATCTTGGAATCAGAATTAAATCTAGGAATGACTTATGACATATTAATATATATATATTTTATACTTCTCTTACAGTTGTTGAAAGCCCAGTTAGAAAAAATCCATGAATCCTTTCTGTGTAGTGTGTGTATGGACTGTGATATATCAACAGCTTTTTGCCCATGTGGTCACATGACCTGTTGTCAGAACTGTGCGTCCCGGTTAGACGAGTGCCCATTGTGTCGGACAAATATTGAGAACGTTCAGCCTATTTTTTTGCCTACTACATTAGTACAAAAGAGTTGATGAAAGGTTGTGTTGTGTTCCGGGGAATGTGCAGATAAAGAAATGGCAATATTATTTGTTAAAGTTGACAAGTGTTTGGTACAGTTCACCTGTATATCAACTCTGGTTCATGTATAAATATAGTCCTGCATCTCTATCATTTAACATCTGTATACATCATTGATTGTTAAATGTTTCCATACAGTGTAGTTGTTTTATCATCACCATAAAGATGTAAATATTTTTATAGAAAGGGCAACAAGCAATGCAATAATTGTCATCATTTTTTTTTAGTTGTTTCATTGTTTATAATTAATATGTGTACAGTACTGTTTAGTATGGTTCTATGAATACATACATAGTATCATTATACATAACTTTCATGTTGATACAGCTAGGTGGTTAGTTCAAAAATTAATTGAAGAGATTTGTGAAGAGAGGACCAAAATTATAGGAGATAAATTAAAAGGCTTTCAGTTGCATGCTATTGATCAAACATTAAAATATAAAGTATGATAAATAAAATTCTTCTCTTGTGTCATTTGCTGCATTCATATAAAGTATAAAGTGATTTATCAATACAAGGTCAATGATTGAAGGTTGAAGGTCGAACCTGACAATGACTTCCTAATACAATTTTTTTTTATCTTGGTTTGAGTTTTGATTGCCTAAATTATCATGGAAATGATTTGATTTTAAATATAATTTTTAAATCAGGAAATGAAGAAAAAAAATAAAACAAATACAAATAAATGTATAAGTAAGTACACAGGAAATGACGTACTACAACATATATTTTAAACATGAATGTTCATTCATTTTAATTTAGCGGAAGTTTGTCATATAACCACAAAGTGTGGGCAGATGTTTTTTTTCCAAATAAAAAAAATCTATTGTGATGTTTTCAACCATTAAAAATTTTGAGATAAAAAGATTGGATATGAGTAAAATCAAATGTAGTTTTAGATTCACCTGATACTTGCCTTGTTATCTGACCATTAGTCAACAGACGCATTTATTTTAGACATTATATTGAAAATAAAAAATATGTGTTTTAAAGTATTGTATATTTTTTAGCACAGGTCATTTTATGTTCATTAGTTAAGACTTGTTAGTTATAATTTATGTTTTTTGTACATTAGCTGGTCATCAATTTTTATTTATTTTCATGGTATGTACATACAAACTTTATTTATTTTTATTTTTGTCTTGCCAATTTTTGATAATGGTAAATTATCTCCCTTGTTAGCACCATGTTACCATTATCTCCTTTGTTAGCACCATGTTACCATAATCTCCCTTGATAGCACCATGTTATCTCCCATAGTTGATGTACATTCCAGATAAGATTTTTTTGGATAAAGTTTTTTGTTTTGTTTCATATTTAAAATTAAAGTTAAAGGGAAATGTTTTGTCTGGATTAAATTCTGCGTTAACTGAACACATATTTCAAAGTTTTAATTAGAGACAAAATTGAACCCTAAATATACAAAATAACATGTTTTAATGGAGTTTATTTAGATAAATTGGACCCTGTATAAATTGAACATACATGTATGGATCAAAGGGATTTATGTAGACAAGTTTTACTGTATTCATATTATCTACACACCTTTGACCTTTTACATTTTAACAAAAACTAAGTGAAGAATCTGTGATTCTTATTAGTAAAAGTTCGATCATTTGAATCAGTTGTCCTTTGAAAGTTAAATAACCAAAGGTGTGTGCAAGTAGAAACTTAATGACTTTGGTCTTCATGCTTTGAATTTCCAATGTTTGTTTTAAATGAAAGTTTTTTTCTTGGAACAACAATGACTAACTGTGGCACTTTTTTCAACAACGAGTAGTGTTTATAAAGAAGATGAAATTATCAATAGAAATTTAACCAAAACCTCAACTTTTAATTGATGAAATCGTAGAGACTAGGTAAATGAAATCTTGGTAATTTCTTTGTAAGTTGAGTGAAAATATAAAGAATTTTGGTTGGCAAAATACTAAATTGACTTTAAACATTAAATCTATATACCCCCCAGTAAGTTAGACCAGTATGGAAGATATGATAATCATACATACACTTTTTATACGACCGCAAAAAATTTTTTGTGGTCGTATATTGGTATGACGTTGGCGTCGTCGTCGTCGTCGTCCGGCGTCGTCGTCGTCCGGCGTCGTCGTCCGAATACGCATTAGTTTTCGCACTCTAACTTTAGTTTAAGTGAATGGATCTCTATGAAATTTTACCATAAGGTTCAATACCACAAAAGGAAGGTGGGGATTGATTTTGGGGGTTATGGTACCAACAGTTAAGGAATTAGGGGCCAAAAAGGGGCCAAAAATAAGCATTTTCTAGTTTCCAGACAATAACTGTGGAAAGGTGTATGGATCTCTCTGAAATTATACTACAAGTTTCCATATCACAAAGGGATGGTTAGGATTTGCTTTGGGGGGTTATGGCTCAAACCGTTTAAGAATTAGGGGCAAAAAAGGGGGAAAAACAAGGTTGTCCTCATTAATTGACAAATACTTTAGTATAAAACATAATTTAAAGCAGTGTAAGGGAGATAAATCAAATACATCATTGAAATTATCTCCCTTACACTGCTTTTAAATTATGTATAAAGTAATGGTTAATGAACAATTAAGATAATTTAAAACAGTGTAAGGGAGATAATCCAAATACAACGTTTTGGTTACTTCCCTTACACTGCTTTTAAATTGTGTTGAAAGAAATGCATATTTATAAAGGAAGACCAGTAAAAATATCTGCAAATGTTGCATCTTTTTTTTTTACAACAAAATCCATATGAAAGATTTGACACTATATTTTAAATTCTATTATAAATTAGATTAAGTTAGCACTATGGTAAATTCAAATGGGTAATTATGGTTGCAAACTCCATTGGAAATTTGAATTGAGATTATGACCATATCTTGAGGGAAAGAATTTTTTGGGGAAAAAAAGGGGGGGGGGGGTTTAAAGAAATTGTGGGGGGTCAATTTTTTCTCATTTCAGATTTCAGAAATTAAAAAGAATTATTCTTCAAATATTATTTTTTTTTCAAATTTCAAATATTGAAAAATTTCAAGAAGTAATCTTTAATTGGACAGTATGGCGCATTATATTTGTAAAATCTTTGACCACATTTATTTATTTGTTATGCCGAATCTAACCGTGTATTTAGATTTTTAATTTTGGGTCCAGTTTTCAAATTGGTCTACATTAAGGTCCAAAGGGTCCAAAATTAAACTTTGTTTGATTTTAACAAAAATTGAATGTATGGGGTTCTTTGATATGCTGAATCTAAACATGTATTTAGATTTTTGAGTTTTGGCCCAGTTTTCAAGTTGGTCCAAATTGGGGTCCAAAATTAAACTTTGTTTGATTTCAACAAAAATTGAATATATGGGGTTCTTTGATATGCTGAATCTAACCATGTATTTAGATTTTTTATTTGTGGCCCAGTTTTCAAGTTGGTCCAAATTGGGGTCCAAAATTAAACTTTGTTTGATTTCAAAAAAAATTGAATATATGGGGTTCTTTGATATGCTGAATCTAACCATGTATTTAGATTTTTTATTTGTGGCCCAGTTTTCAAGTTGGTCCAAATTGGGGTCCAAAATTAAACTTTGTTTGATTTCAACAAAAATTGAATATATGGGGTTCTTTGATATGCTGAATCTAACCATGTATTTAGATTTTTTATTTGTGGACCCTGCTATCAAATTGGTTCATATTGAGGTCAAAAGGGTCCAAAATTAAACTTTGTTTGATTTCAACAAAAATTGAATATATGGGGTTCTTTGATATGCTGAATCTAACCATGTATTTAGATTTTTGATTTTTGGGCCCCGTTATCAACTTTGTCCACATTGAGGTCAAAAGGGTCCAAAATTAAACTTAGTTTGATTTTAACAAAAATTGAATTCTTGGGGTTCTTTGATATGCTGAATCTAAACATGTGTTTAGATTTTTGATAATGGGCCCAGTTTTCAAGTTGGTCCAAGTTGGGGTCCAAAATTAAACTTTGTTTGATTTCAACAAAAATTGAATATATGGGGTTCTTTGATATGCTGAATCTAACCATGTATTTAGATTTTTTATTTGTGGACCCTGCTATCAAATTGGTTCATATTGAGGTCAAAAGGGTCCAAAATTAAACTTTGTTTGATTTCATCAAAAATTGAATATATGGGGTTCTTTGATATGCTGAATCTAACCATGTTTTTAGATTTTTGATTTTTGGGCCCCGTTATCAACTTTGTCCACATTGAGGTCAAAAGGGTCCAAAATTAAACTTAGTTTGATTTTAACAAAAATTGAATTCTTGGGGTTCTTTGATATGCTGAATCTAAACATGTGTTTAGATTTTTGATAATGGGCCCAGTTTTCAAGTTGGTCCAAATTGGGGTCCAAAATTAAACTTTGTTTGATTTCAACAAAAATTGAATATATGGGGTTCTTTGAAATGCTGAATCTAACCATGTATTTAGATTTTTTATGTGTGGCCCAGTTTTCAAGTTGGTCCAAATTGGGGTCCAAAATTAAACTTTGTTTGATTTCAACAAAAATTGAATATATGGGGTTCTTTGATATGCTGAATCTAACCATGTATTTAGATTTTTTATTTGTGGCCCAGTTTTCAAGTTGGTCCAAATTGGGGTCCAAAATTAAACTTTGTTTGATTTCAACAAAAATTGAATATATGGGGTTCTTTGATATGCTGAATCTAACCATGTATTTAGATTTTTGATTTTTGGGCCCCGTTATCAACTTTGTCCACATTGAGGTCAAAAGGGTCCAAAATTAAACTTAGTTTGATTTTAACAAAAATTGAATTCTTGGGGTTCTTTGATATGCTGAATCTAAACATGTATTTAGATTTTAGATTTTTGGCCAAGTTTTCAAGTTGGTCCAAATTGGGGTCCAAAATTAAACTTTGATTGATTTCAACAAAAATTGAATATATGGGGTTCTTTGAAATGCTGAATCTTACCGTGTATTTAGATTTTTTATTTGTGGGCCCGCTATCAAATTGGTTCATATTGAGTTCAAAAGGGTCCAAAATTAAACTTTGTTTGATTTCATCAAAAATTGAATTATTGGGGTTCTTTGATATGCCAAATCTAACCGTGATTTTAGATTTTTAATTTTGGGTCCCATTTTTAAATTGGTCTACATTAAGGTCCAAAGGGTCCGAAATTAAACTTAGTTTGATTTAAACAAAAATTGAATTCTTGGGGTACTTTGATATGCTGAATCTAAACATGTGTTTAGATTTTTGATTATGGGACCAGTTTTCAAGTTTGTCCAAGTTGGGGTCCAAAATTAAACTTAGTTTGATTTCAACAAAAATTGAATTCTTGGGGTACTTTGATATGCTGAATCTAAACATGTATTTTGATTTTGGACATTGGACCATAATAGGTAAATTAAAAAAATTGAAGTTCTTAGACCACATTCTTTCTGTGTCAGAAACCTATGCTGTGTCAAATATTTAATCACAATCCAAATTCAGAGCTGTATCAAGCTTGAATGTTGTGTCCATACTTGCCCCAACTGTTCAGGGTTCGACCTCTGCGGTCGTATCAAGCTGCGCCCAGCGAAGCATTTTATTACATATCAGGTCATTTTCAATGTGTGTCATAAAAGTTTGTAAATTTAAGATGTTGTATATTCTTGTTTGCAATATTGAAAGTGATTCAAATTCTGTTTTTAGAACTGCCATTCCAATTAGAATACCTCACTTTATATTTTATTTTGTTTATAAGGCTTTGTATCTGGTACTTTTAACAGAGGTTCAAAGTCATAAAACTAATCAGGGATGATTCTGCTAATCTGTGTTGGCTATCTTGGCAAAGTATACCCACATGCAGAAAATTGTCAGTTTTAGCAATCCAAAGATTTTGATTGAAATATAACAAAGAGTTTTACTTACGCATCCATAGACTTGATCAATTTTAAATGTATAATACAGTAAAAAGAAACATACCAAAAACTTATTAATAAAATATGCCAGTGATGTAAATTTTGATTAAAAATTCAAAAAAAAAAACCCAATTGACAAGATGATTTGGGGTCCCATTTTATAGATTAATAAAGTATCCTTAAGATAACTCATTGATAAAAAAAAGGTATAGAATTTGGGTTATAACAGTGTATGACCTTGAACATAGTGAGACATTATCATTCGGAAAGATTTTTAAGACACAAGATCTTAAAAGTACTGAAAGCATACTTTTGTAATTAGATTTTAATTTATTTTTTTTCATTTTAGTTTCATTTTTTGAACTCATTTTGAAAAGCAATAATTGATGTCATCACCTCTACATACATGATAGATATTATACATTTTATTTTTAAGCTAGCAATATGATTATTTCACTTACCATGCATACATTCAGTTTCAAATGACCTTGAAAATTTTATCACAAAATAAGTTGCTTATATGCAAAACAAGTAACCAGAATTGTTTTAGTTATCTACACTACAGTTCAGGTGGTCATTTCCACTTGTCCACTCAGAGGGTCATTTCCCACTTGTCCACGGTAGGAGTGGACACAAAGGGGACAGAACTTTGTGATTTGTGCCACTTAAGTAGGTGGAATTGCCCCCTGGGGTGTAGTGTAAGTCAGTCAGTTTAGTTCAGCAGAAAAGATATAAGAACACTTTCTAAATAAAGTCATTTCTACTGTCATCACATAAAATTCAGAAAATAGAAAATATTTGGAATATATGATACTGTAGATTCAGTATAATTAGTGGGGTTACTAATTTGTGTGTATGACATGAGTACAGGGGAGCCATAACTTTAAGTATTCAACAAAATATGATTTTCATATAGGCTTGTATACAAAATTTGACAAAACCGTAAAATCAAGTATCTACAAAAATACTATTTTACCTCAATCCATAAAATTTGATACCCACAAAAATAAATTTTCTTTCATGTTACATGTATAATACTGAAACATTGTACGCACTATAAAGATAGCAAGGATAAGTGGAACTTAATTTAATTGAATTTCATTGTCCAATACCAGTTCACTACTAGTTATATTTTATTGTCTAATACCAGTT